CAACAATGCCAATACCTAATTATAAAGTTCTAACAATGAGCAAATATATTTGCACAAAGTTTCTTATTGCAGAATTATCTGTCATAGCACAACAATGCAAATATATTCTGTAAAATGCTATGAACCTGCAAAAAGAACACTAAAACTCTTAATGAGCTAATATTAGATCATTTGCGGCTTAGCATGAGATTAACTTTTTTAAAAAGCTAGGCACATATGTTTGTATACTACTGGTAACTAAATAAGATAATTTACTACTGGTAATAAAAAATAGAATATGAGACTACACGTATGAAATATATATACATATAAGTTCATACATTCATATTATAGATGTATATATCTGTATGTGTATATATATACATGTATGAATGTATATACATACACATACCCAGATATGTATATGACTATGTATATGTATGTAACATTCATATATGTATATACTCATATATATACAAATATATGTATATATATACATTCATAATATATATACCTACACAGATAGATATATCTCTCTATATATCTGTATGTGCAAATACATATATACACACATGTCTATATATGTACATATATGTATCTTGAAGCTACTATGTAGGTATGTGTAGTAGCTTAATTTTGTCAAAAAAGTAAATACCATTTAATTGGATTTAATACTTGTTGCCAAAAGTAAAGAAAATACACAAGGGCCATAAACAAGAAACTAATGAGATTGCCTACTGGCAATGGTGAGTAGAAAGTAGAAATTGAATGTCATTGAAGCAAGAGAAGAGGACGCTTCTCTGAATTTACCCTTTCATATAGTTTTGATCATGATCCAATGTTAATATTTTAAATATTCAAAGAGTAGCATCTAGAAAGATGGAAATAAAAACAGAAATATGTCTATGTATATATCAAATGTATACCATTAGTAGAGAGAAGGAAAAAAAATCCAGATAATTTTTGGATACAATTATCTGACTGTACATACTCTCATTAGGATCTATTTTAAGACTAAAATACCTGTAAACACATTTTAATCTTTAAATTATAGTTTTGTTGTTATTGTTAAGTTGCAGCAGTTTGAAATGTTGTATGCATTGGAGAATTGGGAAAATGATCAAATATATTGATGTTACCTGAAACCAGGGTTCTCATTGTGGGAGAAAGGAGATAGAAAAATGAAATACAGAAGAGGAAAATTCTGTGGTATTAAATTGGATTAGATGAATCAGTAATTATTCATGATAAATACATGAAAACACACACACACATTGTCTATTTTTTTTTTTTTTGAGACAGAATTTTGCTCTTGTTGCCCAGGCTGGAGTGCAATGGCGCAATCTCAGCTCACCACAACCTCCACCTCCTGGGTTTAAGTGATTCTCCTGCCTCAGCCTCCCCAGTAGCTGGGATTACAGGCATGCACCACCTTGCTTGGCTAATTTTGTATTTTTGGTAGAGATAGGGTTTCTTCATGTTGGTCAGGCTGATCTCGAACTCCCAGCCTCAGGTGATCCACCCACCTCAGCCTCCCAAAGTGCTGGGATTACAGTTGTGAGCCACTGCACCCAGACTGTCTAACTATTAAATGAAATGGAGTAGAAATTAGGAAGTGCACAGAAATTCATGTCTTTCTCTCTAAAATGCATAATCCACATCTAATCAAGACAAACCAGACAAACCGAATTGAGGGGCATTTTATGAAACAGTTGATCAGTTTTCCTCAAAACTGCCAAGATCATTAAAAACAAGAAAATTCTGAGGAATTGTCTAGAGGAGGCTTTGGGAACATGGTGACTGAACATAATAGGTATCAGGTAGAAAACTAAGAATTTGTAAAGAGAGTACATATTTTAATTTATAGTAATGTATCAATATTAGATAGCTGTGACAAGTCAATCATACTATTGTACGATGTTAAAAGTGGAGAAACTGTGGTATATGGGGGCTTCTGTCTATCTTGATAACTTTCGGTAAGCTCAAAAGTATTCTAAAATAAAAAGTTTACTCAAGAAAAACCTACCTCCTAGACCAAATTCAGAAGAAAGGATAGTGGTGGTGGTGCTAGGGAGGATCTTTTCAACTAATTTGTGTTCCACAAAAATCCAGATGTGAAAAATAAAAATGTATAAAAGAGCAATACCACTACACTATATTGCACAATTGTTTTCATTAGTAAAAGCGTATCTAAAGACTTTACTAACAGTCAAATGTTTAAAATTTCTTAATATAGAAAAAAAGTATTGTCAGAGAAAAAGTTTTAATTGATACATTCTTTTAGTGTGCAAGTATTAAATTTTACAGGTTAAGGCTTTCTGAAAACAATTTGATCGTGTATTGTAATGACTCTTTTATCTGCATCAGATCTATTTGAGTTATTTTAATCCCAAATCCCTTATGTCATTTTGTCAAGTGTGATCCAAAGAAGAGAATGCATGATAATTGAATATGCTTATTGTATGTATTTCTTTTTCATTATGGTAACTGATTCTAAGCCGTCATTAATTACTTATTTAATGAATCGTATATGCATTTATATCCTAATATTTGTTGTAATCACATAGCACATTTTAAACCAACGAAAATATGCTATGGTTTACCAAGTTTAAAATATAGAATCTTTTTTTTTTTAGACTTTTAAATTCAGGAGTATATGTGAAGGTTTGTTACATAGGTAAACTTGTGTCATGAGGGTTTGTTGTAAAGACAGTTTCATCACCCTGGTACCAAGCTTAGTACCCATTAGTTATTTTTCCCAACATAAAATCTTAATGTTCATGTAAATTTGTAAATTACCTTTCATAGCCAAATGTACAGTTTTCATTCACTTAAAAATTAAGAATATTAGAAATAAAAAGTCACGCCGGGCGCGGTGGCTCAAGCCTGTAATCCCAGCACTTTGGGAGGCCGAGGCGGGTGGATCACGAGGTCAAGAGATCGAGACCATCCCGGTCAACATAGTGAAACCCCGTCTCTACTAAAAATACAAAAAATTAGCTGGGCATGGTGGCACGTGCCTGTAATCCCAGCTACTCAGGAGGCTGAGGCAGGAGAATTGCCTGAACCCAGGAGGCGGAGGTTGCGATGAGCCAAGATCGCGCCATTGCACTCCAGCCTGGGTAACAAGAGCAAAACTCTGTCTAAAAAAAAAAAAAAGAAAGAAAAAAAGAAATAAAAAGTCACTTTTTAAATGTTTGGTATTATTTAAAAATATAGAATAGTGGTTTCTTTTTAAATTTGGAAAGCAACATACACACACACACACACACACACACACATATATATATAGACATAAGTACATATATACTTATGTCTATGTATATATATTATATACTTTTAAATTTTTTATTTATTTTTTTGAGACGGAGTCTTACTCTGTCGCCCAGTCTGGATTGCAGTGGTGCAATTTCAGATCACTGCAACTCCTCCTCCTGGGTTCAATCAACTCTCCTGCCTCACCCTTCAGAGTATCTGGGATTACAGGTACATGCCACCACACCTGGCTAATTTTTTATATTTTTGGTAGAGATGGGGTTTCACCATGTTGGCCAGGCTGATCTCAATCTCCTGACCTGAAGTGATCCACCTGCCTCATCCTTGCAAAGTGCTGGGATTACAGGAGTGAGCTACTGCGCCTGGCCAACTTATATTTTTTGAAGAACTTGATTTCCAACTACATATTTTTTGATTAAAAATATGAACAATATGGCTGGATGTGGTCGCTCATGCCTATAATCCCAGCACATTGGGAGTCTGAGGCAGGTGGATCACTTGAGACAAGCCTGGCCAACATGGTGAAACCCTGTCTCTTCCAAAAAAAAAAAAAAAAAATCAGCTGGGTGTGGTGGTCCATGCCTGTAATGCTAGCTACTCAGGAGGCTGAGGCAGAAGGATAAAAATTTCTCAATTGAAAAAGAAAAAGAGCAAACCTCATGGGGCGTGGTAAGAGACACAAGAGTCAGTTTAAAGTGGCTTCCATTGGCAAAATTTGGAACAAGCTGAGCATCAAAATGAATAACAGGAATAGATTATATATCATATTAAATAAAAAGAAAATCTGCTGGTTCACATTTAATTTACTACTTTTAAAGCTAGTTCTAGTACTTCTCCTACTAATACCTAAATGAACGGGATAAGGGAAAAGGAAAAATTTTTACTTACAGTTAAATGCTAGCTAATAAATACAAAAAAAGTTAGAAATAGCAAAAATAACCATTTTACCATCAGCATGACAATAACTGATTCATGCAAAATTCATTAAAATATGCCTAAGCTCTTTTGTGAAAATTTGTTTGGAAACAGGATATTTATATTCAGACTCAAAGGTCCCAATCAGTTTTTTTGTTGAATACAAAGAAGAGTTTTTTCTTTGCACCACTTAACCAAGTGATCAAACACATCACTAGTGATAGATCAAAGTGACATCATGTGTCACAGGATGTAATGGTCTGAAAAGGACAAAGCATCACTGATGCAATATTCCTGTCAAATATATTTAACTTGATTTTATTCATGAGAAAATAAATCAAACAAATTCAACTTAAAGAGCATTTGTAAAGCAGCTGGCTTGGGTGACTCAGACTGTCAATGTCATAGAAGTCAAAAATCAAAACACAAGGAATGTGACTAGTAGATGAATGTTCATTATATTATTCTTGTGACTTTTCTATGGAATGACATTTTTCAGAAGAAAATATTGGGAAATATATGTTATTCTAAAAATTCCTACTTTTTGTTGTTCCAAAGGGCCACTCATTTGGTTTTAAATTACTGTTTGTAATATTTGAATTTGCATAAGCCCTTATTTTAATGAAGACACTGGGCTTAAAATAAGGATATTTTAATCTGAGATATTTGAGTATTTTTGATTTGTACAGATTTCAAGTACAAATCAAAAATATTCAAATTTGTATTTTGATTTGTATGTTGATTTTCATGATTCCATATACTTATAAAAATGTTTTTGTTTTATACTCCTTAATATTTATTAGACTTATTTCTGTATGTTTTATGTCTAGATTGTTATCGTGGGAATGGCAAAAATTATATGGGCAATTTATCTAAAACAAGATCTGCACTAACATGTTCAATGTGGGACAAGAACATGGAAGACTTACACCGGTCTGTAAATTTCTTCCTTCTATATATAGAATGTAATAATAACAATGGATTGTGTATTTAGATATGTATATTGCTTTTTCTTTCTAATCTTTTCTATATCATGGCAAGCTAATAAAAGCATTAGATTGGATTTTCTGTACAACTCATCATAACATTGTTTAAAAAGAAGCAAACTTTTAAATATGCAATTCAAGTTAGTGCATATTTATTGAGCATTTACTATGCGTTCTGTAATATAATTAGTACCATGGGGAACAGCAACAAAAAGTGGACATATTTTGGTTCCAGCCTTCAAGGAGGATATGGTCACATTGACACAACAGTAACATAACTTAATAAGACAGTGTATAACTAAGTGGCAAATCTGGTGTTTGAAGTAGTGCATTTTATGGGATTATTGTTTTCATGTTTAATAATTAATAGTAGTTGAAAAACCAATGAATAATCATTCTCATGTATATAATTTAAATATCTAAACTACTAAATCTTAACTATTAAAAATGTAAAATGGCAGGTTTCCTTATGTAGCTTTGATACATAAAATTTTCCAATAATTACAGGAATGTATACATAATTGAAAAATTCTAAAAGTTTTTGATAATTACAGATTTTTACCATAGATATATTCATAGATAGAGGAGATAGCATCCACTCAGCCTTAGCAATAGTGCTAGTGTTTACAAAATTGCAAAAGAAGTATAACACACAATTGTGACCTAAAACAGATTTTTCATAAACATCCCAGAGTATATGCACTAGACTAAAAGAAAAAAGTTTAATAAATGGTGTTGGGAAAACTGGCTAGCCATGGGCAGAAAACAGAAATTGGACCCCTTCCTGACATCTTACACTAAAATTAACTCCAGATGGATTAAAGACTTCAACATAAGACCTAACACCATAAAAACCCTAGAAGAAAACCTAGGCAAAACCATTCAGGACATAGGCATGGGCAAGGACTTCATGACCAAAACACCAAGAGCATTGGCAACAGAAGCCAAAATAGACAAATGAGATCTAATTAAACTCCAGAGCTTCTGTACAGCAAAAGAAACAATCATTAGAGTGACAAACAAATCCATTCAAAAGTGGGCAAAGGGTATAAACAGACACTTTTCAAAAGAAGAGATATATGAAGCCAACAGACATGAAAAAAGCTCATCATCACTGGTCATTAGAGAAATGCAAATCAAAACCACATTGAAATACTATCTTGTGCCAGTTAGAATGATGATCATTATAAAATCTGGAGACAACAGTTGCTGGAGAGGATGTGGAGAAACGGGAACACTTTTACACTGTTGGTGGAAATGTAAATTAGTTCAACCATTGTGGAAGACAGTGTCGTGATTCCTCAAGGACTTAGAAATAGAAATTACATTTGACCCAGCAATCCTATTACTGGGTATATATCCAAAGGATAATAAATCGTCCCATTATAAAGACACATGCACATGTATGTTCACTGCAGCACTGTTTATGAACACAATAGCAAAGACCTGGAACCAACCGAAATGCCCATCGATGATAGACCAGACGAGAAAAATGTGGCACATGTACACCATGGAATACTATGCAGCCATAAAAAATGATTTGTTCATGTCCTTTGTAGGGATATGGATGAATCTGGAAACCATCATTCTCAGCAAACTGACACAAGAACAGAAAATCAAGCACCACATGTTCTCACTCATAGGCAGGTGTTGAACAATGAGAACACATGGACACAGGGAGGGAAGCATCACACGCTAGGTCTTCTGGGGGTGCTAGGGGAGGGACAGCAGGGATTGGGGAGGGATAATATGGAGAGAAATGCCACATATAGGTGACGGGGGAATGGAGGCAGCTAACCACATTGCCAGGTATGTACCTATGCAACAATCCTGCATGATCTGCACATGTACCCCAGACCCTAAAGTACAATTAAAAATATATGTATATAAAGTTAAAAAAATAACATGTATATTCAACTCTGAAAAAAATTACCTTAGCATAAGTCATATTTAACAAATTTTCATTTTTACTCAAAAAAAAAGAAAAAAGTTATAGTCATTTTGATCAAGTGCCTATAACATGGCTGCTTTACAAGAGTTATGTCATTTGACCACCATAATCTTATAGGAAAGATTCCTATATATGGATAGGAATTTAAGGGCTCAGAGAGATGCAGTGACTTTGCTTCAGTCTTTTAAGTTCCTTATTCTCTTCCAAAAAGTACTCAATCGTGTATTATATTGTTTTACTTAATTTACTTCACACGAGGATAGTTCTCAAATAATGCTCTCTAATTGAAAATAATGCAACTCACAAATGTAAGCCACATATGTACTGCTAAATTCCTAGTAGCCACTTCTAAAAAGGTAAAAATAAACAGGCAAAATTAATTTTAATATATTTTATTTAATCCAATATATCTAAAGTTTTTTATTTCAATATGTGTTCAATATAAAAATAATTTAAAATACCTTTTACATTATATTCTCATGCTTCATATTCAAAATCTGGTGTCTGTTTACACTGATAGCACCTATCAATGTGGACTAGATCAATTTCGCAGTAGCTATATGTGGCTAGGGGCTACTATATCGACACTATAGCTCTAGGACTTCAAAGGGCAGCAGAGTTCTGTTCTCATAGATCTCCCACTCTAGTGTGGGATACATGCAAACAGGAAATGCCATATGAAAACTATGAAAGATAGTATATTTTATGCTTTGGGAATGCAAAGAAGTGCCCACTCAGATGTAAGTGGTCAGGAAGGCTTCTTAAAGGAAGGGAAAACAGCCGGGCATAGTGGCTCGTGCCTGTAATCTCAGCACTTTGGGAGGCCGAGGCGGGCAGATCACAAGGTCCGGAGCTTGAGACCAGCATGTTTGTTTTAACCAACATAGTGAAACCCTGTCTCAACTAAAAATATAAAAATTAGCTGGGCACAGTGGCATGTGCCTGTAGTCCCAGCTACTCAGGATGCTGAGGCAGGAGAACTGCTTGAACCCATGAGGTGGAGATTACAGTGAGTCGAGATTGTGCCATTGCACTCCAGCCTGGGCAACAGGGTGAGACTCCATCTCAACAACAACAAAAATAAAAATTAAAAAAAAAAAAAAAACGGAAGGGAAATTAGCTGGGATGTACATATGATGAATAGGAATCGGGCAACAGAAGTAGAGGAGGAAGACTATGTTAGACACAAGAAACTGCATGTGCAAAGGCCAAAGCATTAGAGTATTTGAATATAGGAAATCAATTTGGTAAGACGGAAAGAATGTCACTTGGTCAATGTCCACAGAGAAGGAATTCACAAAGCGGCAACAATATATAGAGAGTCTTGTAAGCTCAGTTAAGAAATCTAAATTTTATCCTGAGGATTAAAAGGACTTATTAAAGAATTTTAAGCAAGAATTGGCATGATTAAAATAAATGCTGATTTCAGCACTGCTGTTTTTTAAAGCATTTTTAGTAACATGTAGTGGTGGATGGAGTGGATTGCTCTTACGGAATTGTGAGAGATAATTGTTCTCATCTTCTTTCAAAAATGTTGCCTTCAGTGCTTTTTACATTAGAAGTTTGAATTTTCATGGTAGAAGTACTTACAGTACAGAATTCAGCAAGAGCTACACATGAGGACTCCTCGTCTTCATCCTTAGCATACACATACCTTAAGTACCAGTTGGTAAACATTTACCAGCATGCTACTGGAAATATGTGATATATTTATTTAAAAACTCTCAATGGGTCTCTAATAATACTTAATTCATCTAGTTTAGGTTTGACTTTTAGAAACAATTTGTAGGAAATTGATCAAGGATTAAGTTGCATGGTACCATTTTGGCTTAAGGACAAACTTAAAGTACTGAAAGTCATGTTCTGAGATTATATCTTCGTGTATTATTTTGTGCCTGTTGGATGCAATAAGCATTGTGATGTGCAAAGCTTGTTGTTTCCACAGTCATATCTTCTGGGAACCAGATGCAAGTAAGCTGAATGAGAATTACTGCCGGAATCCAGATGATGATGCTCATGGACCCTGGTGCTACACAGGAAATCCGCTCATTCCTTGGGATTATTGCCCCATTTCTCGTTGTAAGTACAGTTAGAGGTCTTTGTCATGTGAAATATTTTAAATATACTGTGTTTCATATAAAAGTTGTAAGTAATATAGGCGGTCTGGCATTGATTCCCAACTGAGGAGGCTTTCCAGAGAGCAACATACAAAGATGCACACAACACACATGCAAACACACCACACGTTCTCTCTCCGTCTCTCTCCATGTCTCTTATAGATAAGAAGATATTCTAACATTTTAAAGGAGATTCTCTTCCCCAAAAAGATTTCCATTTGGATTCCAAAAGCAATAATTGGCCACACTTGTGATATAACTGGGTTAGAAGATCTCCCCATTCCCCAACACCAATACTACCTGTTCAGCTTCTGAATATAGCAGAGCTCTCAGCAAAGTTCCATAAGCAAACCTGAACTGGTGGTACTTTTATTTCCCTCTCAGTTCTTTAACTTAAGACTGAAGAAAAGCCTGGAGTTTTCCACCCAGTTACCTGATTCCCAAGATGGCTTTATGAAAAGGGTATTATTGCATAAAATAAAAGTTATATAAAAAACATGTAAAATACGTTTGATATAGTTCATATAAAATACATATCTAGTATAACTCATATTATAAAGTTTCTATATAGCAATAAGAAAAAGATGTCAGAACTCAGGAGAAAAAGAAAGAAAATAAATCTTCAAGAATATAGCTGATAAAAAAATGAAAAGACATGAAAACTTATTAGTAGGAAACATTTTTTAAAGCATGAGAAGTCACTTCAACCTGTCAGGTTGGTAAATAAAATGATTGTAATAAATATCTAATATTAGTGAGGACCTGGGTAATCAGGGTGTCTCAATTCTATGCTACTTTGAGTGTGAATTCAAAATCCTGCTGGGAAGTCAGTTTGATAAAATGTATAAAAAGCAGTAATAATGTTGACATAGATCAGGAGTTTTGAGCCTCCCCACACTGGCATTTTGGGCCAGATGCTGTTCTGTACTTGCAGCATGCTTAGTAGTGTTCCTGGACTCTATCCACTAGATGCCAGTAGCATGACACCTGCCCCAAGTTGTGACAATCAAAACTATCTCTAGACATTGCCACTGTCTCCTGGAGGGCAAAATCATTTCCACTGGTAACCACTGATGTAGAGTAATATGTATTGAGATGGCACTATGTCTTTAACATGTTATCGAGTGAAAAAGCCTTTTTTATAAAGCTGTGTCCGTAGAAAAAGATCATTTTACTACACCATGTATCTGTAACTCTGTGTTTACAACAAACATCATTTACCACAATGTTAAACTACCTTCTCTTTAAAAAGGAAATACTTGCATAAGTTCTATAAGAACTTTGTTTTAAGAATGTTTTTTGTTAGAGAAGGCAGTAGTATCAAGTACCTTGAGAATAGCAGCAAAAATATCTACTAGAAAAAGAGAGATTAAATTGAAGAAATGATAATGTTGCTTTAAAAAAATGAAATAAAAACACAAGTCTATGTTTTCCAGAATTTATGTAAATTAGAGAGGTAAATTTCACCTTAAATGGAAACAGCCATTAGGTTTTATGAAATTCTAGCATTAAAGACAAACTTTTAAAATATGTTAATCAATCAAGTCTACCTATAATTAAGACTTGTAGCTGCTCCATCTATGTTTAATAGTTTCACAAATTCTCCATAAGAATAAATAACAAAATATATTATGTGTTTGCAAATAAATGGTATTTCTAATAAGTATATTTTCATTTTATCAGCCATGATCATAGCCTTTCAAATTAGTTTTCCTAATATTCTTCAATTTTCTATATTAAGGTTTGCATAGGCCCTGAAAATGTTCTGCCAGGAAAGACATCTTTCAAATGTTAATACTGAAAGAAACACACCTATCCTTTCAGACAGTGCCATATAAAAATATTTTTAAATGATTAAAAGATTATTATTTTTCTAAGTACTAGTTTTATAACACAAGGTTTTTGTTAAGTCTCTGTTTAAGACTAATGGAGGCTCATCGAATATACACTAGTATAGGAAGAAGGAAAAAGACAATTATCTGTCTTCTAAAACAGGTTATTTTGCTTCGTCTACAGATTTTCAGATTTTTTTTTTTTTTTTTTTTTTTTTTTTTTTTTTGAGACGGAGTTTTGCTCTTGTTGCCCAGGCTGGAGTGCAATGGCGCAGTCTCGGCTCACCGCAACCTCCGCCTCCTGGGTTCAGGCAATTCTCCTGCCTCAGCCTCCTGAGTAGCTGGGATTACAGGCACGTGCCACCATGCCCAGCTAATTTTTTGTATTTTTAGTAGAGATGGGGATTGACTATGTTGACCAGGATGGTCTTGATCTCTTGACCTCATGATCCACCTGCCTCGGCTTCCCAAAGTGCTGGGATTAGCAGGCGTGAGCCACCGCGCCCGGCTCAGATTTTCAGATTTTTAAAAATCACAGCAGCTTGATCTAGCACGTATGCATGGTTAAGAGTGAAATGGTCCTGTAGAATCTCAAGGCACTGTGCTTTGGTTTACAATCACAAGCTAAGGGAGCCAGGACTCTAACCTCAAGGCACTGTGCTTTGGTTTATAATCACAAACTAAGGGAGCCAGGACTCAAATAATTTAGAAGTTTTCAAAAAAATTTTTCAACTAATATTTTTAAACTAAATGTGCTGTTGAAAGACTTGAGGGTGTTACTAGTATTTGATTAAATACTATTGCAGATAAATCACTTTATTTCAATGTATACCAAACATTAATTTCAATAAAGATTTTTACACGGTCATTTTTCTAACTAATATTTATAGCCAGGATTTATTTACATTTTATCCCTGGTGAAAGGGTAATAATATTTAACTTTAGAAGTTTTGAGTTCTTATTATTTATATAACTGCAGAGACTGTATAAATCATTTTCACACTGTACAGTTCTCTTACAAAACATGGAAAGGTTTTTATTCATTTTCTAACATGCTTACAAAATAATATTGTATATATTTTTAAGTTTATAAAATATGCAAACATAAAAATGTAGAGGTTCCTATATGACTGAGTATACACAGACATACTTAGTATACTATTTTAGAAAATTCTTAATTAACTACCAAGAGTGTTATGGTTAAGAACTTCAATACAGACTTGCTAAGAATGCCGGATCCATCATTTTGTAAGTACTTTGGGCAAGTTACTAAACCCACTTAGGACCTATAGTGTTTGCAATATTTTATAATAAAAGAATCTAGTATATGGAGCTATTGGGAACAGTGTCTGTTGCCTACTAAACAGTCAAAACCTTAACTTCCATCTCTATTTTTTATGTAATCATTCATTATTGTTTATTGAGCTGCTATTGTGTACAAAGCCATATATAACATACAACGTTTATAAAAATGTTAATACTGCTTCTTAATTTCAAATAGTTCATGGTATATAAGGGAGACATTTGTGTAAACAATTACAAAGCAATATAATCATGTAATGTGTATATACAATATATAAAATGAGAATATGAACATAGATTTCTTCATGGAGAAATATGTGATGTTCATAAAGTATTGAAATTTAGTTAAAACTTTAAGAAGGGCCGGGCGCAGTGGCTCACGCCTGTAATCCCAGCACTTTGGGAGGCCGAGGTGGGTGGATCACAAGGTCAAGAGATCGAGACCATCCTGGTCAACATGGTGAAACCCCGTCTCTACTAAAAATACAAAAATTAGCTGGGCATGGTGGCACAGTGCCTGTAATCCCAGCTACTCAGGGGGCTGAGGCAGGAGAATTGCCTGAACCCAGGAGGCGGAGGTTGCAGTGAGCTGAGATCGCGCCACTGCACTCCAGCCTGGGTAATAAGAGCGAAACTCTGTCTCAAAAAAAAAAAAAAAAAAAAAAAAAACTTTAAGAAGAGTAAGAGAAAGTTTTCTTTATGTTTTCAGGAAGAGTCCATGTTTGGTTCTGAGGACACACACATACACACATACCCCTACTCTTCCATGGGTAAAACTTTTATCACTGACATGTTTCCTTCAAATTTAAGTTGAACCAATACAAAATAGTTATTGTATCACATTTTTTTTAGACATGAGTCTGAAAGTAGTGTGGTATAGATAGCGGTAAAAGTAAGGGAAGAAAAGTGAGAATCGTATTTGATAGTGAAATGGAAAAGGCCTAGAAAGCAGTTTTTCAAGTTTTATACGAGGCACACAACAGAAGAACCTAGAATGCTTTATAAAAATGAAGAGTCCAGCCACCAGCCCAGAATCTCCAGAAATTTAATTTTAAATGGTATTTTGGTTTATGCTGAAGTGTGAGAAATACTAGATTAGAGAAAACAAAATATATACATTACTATTAATTATTAAAACCCAAAATGTATAGTATCTACAAATTTTTAAAACTAAATATATTGGTAAGATACAAGAGTTGAGTATTCACTTTGTTTATCTATTAGCTTAATGCTTAGAAATAAGAGACTTAATATACAAGTAAAGCTAGAACAAATAACCCAGTCTTTCTCATCACAAAATAAAACATAAATATCTACTTATTTACTTTAACATTTTCAAGTATTTGACTTATGTGGAAAACCAATATCCCTGATGTTTTAGTTACCATATTCTGCCTCAATCTTAACTCATATTTAAAAACTAAAACACTGACCTCAGCTGACTGACAAGCCCTCCTCTAGGATAAGCTACGGGGAAAGAGAAATGGTGAATTTTGTATGTTCACCATTACCCCATTCATTTAAAGTAACATAATGGAAAATGGACATAAATAAGTATATATTAATTCTCACAATTGTCCTTATAAATAACAATCACATTGGCATCCATTTCAAAGGAATCCATATGCATTATTGCTTTGTTTCTGGCTTATTTGAGCTCAGGGCATTTCCAGGGATTAACAACCATCTGGGTCTAAATAGTGCCTGACTGAACTCTATGCCATCAATTCCGAATACTCAGACATTAAGCTCCAGGAAATGTCTTGTGTCTCATTCATTACAGAGTAAGTATTTCAAAATCCTTGCATCTTCCAAACATGTCTCTTTTTTTTGTGGCAATTAAGCCCCAGTAGAGATGAAAAAGTAGTAAGCTACAGGTTTTAATTAGAATTAATTTGTAGTTTTCGGTGTTCTCGTTTTTCTACACTTTTTAAACTAGCACCTGGAAAAATCAATCCTTGAAATATTAAAACAACAAAACATAATTATATTTTGTTATCCCTCTTTTTCCGTTAGTGACATTGGTTTCTAACTTCTAGAATCCTTGCAGAGACGTATGAAGTTTGTATAGTTGCAATTATTCTTATCACACAAAAATAAAAGTTTTCAGAAAAAAATTTAAATGATTCAAATTACAGAAGCAAAATGGCCTATCTATATGAAGAGTCCAAGCAGACCATAATGAACATGAGTCCTATTCAATGGAATGAATGTCCATGGTGTAGCATGTTAGACAACTTTGTGGATCCAGACAGCTCCTTGATGCCAGCAGTATAATTCAAGTGGCCAGTGATCATCACAACACACACCTGAGAGCCTCCACAGTCATAAAATAGGTCTCTGTTCATATCAACTAGTACCAGTGGGCATATACTTACAATATTATCCAGTAAAAGTGATGCATAATTACTCAAAAGAGCTTACATTTTATCTCTGAATAAAATGTCAAGAATTTTAGTAAATTGGCCAGGTATGGTGACTCATGCCTATTATCCTAGCACTTTGTGAGGCAGGTGGATCATCTGAGGTCAGGAGTCTGAGACCAGCCTGGCCAACATGGTAAAACCCCGTCTTTACTAAAAATACAGAAAGTAGCTGGGTGTGGTGGTGTGCACTTGTGGTCCCACCTACCTGGGAGGCTGAGTCAGGAGAATCACTTGAACTCAAGAGGGGGAGGTTGCAGTGAGCCAAGGTAGAGCCACTAGACTCCAGCCTGGGTGACAGAATGAGGCTCTGTCTCAAAAAAAAAAAAAAAAAAGAATTTTAATATATTATTGAATTCATTGATACTTGGATTTTAATATATAGTTGGCTTTATATAACAGAAATATGCATGTATGAATTATGCATTTATCTATACATTTATTTTTACAGGTGAAGGTGATACCACACCTACAATAGTCAATTTAGACCGTAAGTAATCTTTCACAATATGAAGTATATTCTGAGTCTCTCTTTGTATATCAGAAATGATATCATTATGTCCTTCATAGAAAATTATCTGTATTAGCTTTCATTATAAGAAGAAGCTATTTTATTTATTTTTATTTTTTAAAATATATTTTTCTATGCATAGCTGTAAAGGAGTTTCAAAGTCAACTACCTGCTGAATATGAGAATTCAATTTTCTTGCCAAAAATCTGTAAGATGGTGTATGTGATTTTGAAAAGAACGTTTATATTTATTTGGGGCAAAATGTATATAATGGACCACCTTTATATACACCATGCTATAATAAAATTAGGATGCTGGAGTGAGGAAGGATGAAACCCAAAAGTTGGAAAGTTATTCAGTGCCTCTATTCTACTCTATCTGTAAACTTCTCTGCATGCCCTGCAGTCCACTGGGCACAAGATAACACAGTCCGAGATACTCAGTTAATCCTCAGTTTAAGAATCTGTTGGGAGGCGCTTCTATTTTATTTTCACATATTTCTTGAACTGAAGGAAGTTGCTCAAGTGTTTTTGATGTAAAATACCACCTGCTGTGCCCCAGGCTCAGGAAGCAAATGGAAATCTATTCTAGACCATTGGCAGAAGTAGGGAGGATAAGGCGAGGAGCATAGAGGAGTGTGAGGAAAACATTTACTTCAGTGAATTCTAGATTATGTCTTTGGACATAATTGTTTGCATATGATAATTATATCCTTTGGATATGATTTCAAAAAATCAAATGTTTGTAAGACCTATCAGGTAAATCTACAATCTGTGCAAATTCAGAAGTAAAAACAAAGTAAAGCTTGGTTTTATTTTTTTCACTAAAGCTATTGATTTCTACTGACCTTTAGAAATAACCGTTGTCAATAAGTTTGGTTCATTTTATGTTGAGGCTGGTGAGGGCAATATAACATTCGTGTTAGACTGGAGGAACTTGGTATTAGTGCATTGTGAGCAAAGCCACTGTCGCTATCATGGCAATCCAGTCTGCTTTGAGTTGATTTGTTTTTCTGTTACTCAACTTCTTAGATGAGAATGACAAGTATTAGGGGCTTACTATAATACTGCAGTCATATAAAACTACTCTTGCTCCAAACTCTTCTCTTGACACAATAAGAATAGTTACATTTGTCTAATTATCATTGCATTTAAGAAAACTAAGAGGCACTCATTATTTCAAATTGTTATTTTAAAATGTTATGTTTGGTCCTCTTTTAGATCCTGTAATATCTTGTGCCAAAACGAAACAATTGAGAGTTGTAAATGGGATTCCAACACGAACAAATGTAGGATGGATGGTTAGTTTGAAATACAGGTAATTACTAATAGATGCAAACCATGCATATCTAGATATGTGCAAAAGTCATATTCCCAGAATTATGGACACATGAGGTTATGAAGGTTGTATCCTCTCCAGGGCACTCAGTGAGGCAGTAAAAGAGGAGCCCGATTACATTCTGCTTGCCAAACTGTAAACTCTGGACTGCATTTCTGCTTCCAGAGGTAGTGCCTTTTGAAATCTTCACAAAGGTCCCATATGTATTGGCATTGTCCCTGATTCCAAGAGACACTTTGGTTCTGATTAAGCAAAAAAACCAGAGGACCTACTGAAAACTTTAATAGTACCATAGTAGTTATGATACTTGTTATTAAATTTCTAATCTAGGACACTATGGGTTTATTTTCTGACATGTTTATGCATGATTACGTCCAAACATTTATATTTGTTTTTAATTTCTGACTTTTTCCTTGTCTATCAAATGAAAAAGGGCAATTTAAAATTCTAGAGTATTTTATCATTACAAAAAAATGCCAACAGTTAAATAGTCTTGATATTACAATAAACAGCGGAGATACAAAATTATTGATACATCTATTTCTCAATGCTCTTAGGACACTTAGGAGTCAATGAGATGTCTTCCATAAAATCACTTTGCAAATCATATCGTTAGAGAAAATTAAGCTTAGTAATTACATCATAAGAATTAAATATTGAAAATATAAGTTAACTTAAAATCTGATCTTACAACTTTCATATACTACATATATTATTCTGTATGTTATTTGGAATGCTGAAATATTTATGTCTTTGGCTATCCCTATCCGAACCTCGCCATGCAGGAAACCCCAGGATACATTTGAATTTGAGCCACATTGTCTTGTTTTCTAGATACCTCATATTTCTTCCTCCAAACCTTTATGCAGTTGTTCCCACCATACATTGTGGCTTTTTCCCTCCATGTTTTATGCCTGAATATTCTTTCCTGTTCTTCAAATCTCAACCTAAATATCCCCTTTTAGAATACCCTAATGTTCCTTCACCCTTAGCCTCCTAGAGTAGAGAAAAAGAAAGTATATCTGTTACTATTATTAAATCACAGTGACATTAGAATAGAGACAACTTGATATGGAAGTCCTTTTATGAATAAACCAATTCTTGGAAAGCAAGAGGTTATAGCCTTTGATATATGTGACTTTAGATGACCATAATGTTGTAGGAGATGGCTTAAAGTTCTTTTTTAGTATACTCTTTTCTCTGAGAAAATACCAAAAAAAAAAAAAAAGTACACCCTTTTCTCAAGGAATAGCTCATCAGATTTCATAAATATTTATGCCGGTAATTGTAGTATAGCTGTCCTAGGTGTGTAGGACTAAAATAGAATTGTCAAAGTAACCAGAATATTAAAGTTGAATGTGCAGTACGAGGATTTAATACAGACTTTAGAATTCTATTCGAGTGTTTAATTTTTTTTAATTATAGAAAATCTTTCAAGAGGCTGGATGTGGTGGCTCATGGCTGTAATAAGCACTTTGGGAGACTGAGGCAGGCGGATCAACTGAGGTCAGGAGTCTGAGACCAGCCTGGCCAAAATGGTGAAACCCCATCTCTACTAAAAATACAAAAAAAAAAAAAAAATTAGCTGGGTGTGGTTGCAGGTACCTGTAATCCCAGCTACTCAAGGAGGCTGAGGCAGAAAAATTGCTTGAACCTGGGAGGCAGAGGTTGCAGTGAGCTGAGATCACCCCACTACACTCCAGCCTGGGCAAACAAGAGGGAGACTCCATCTCAAAAAACAAACAGGAAAGAAAAGAGAAGAAAAAAGAAAAGAAAAGAAAGAATGGAAGGAAGGAAGGGAGGGAGGGAGAAAAAAGGAAATCTTTCAGGAATCCACATTTGAGATAATTGGTGATTCTTTGTTTATCTTAGAACCCAGAGAATAAAAGAAGACATATACTAATACATCTAAATTATATTTTCCAGTAAGAGAATTCACAAGGATACTGCTTTGGTCAACTCCATTTTTGGAGAAGCAGGTGAAGCCATTTTTCCATCAGATCAGAGTACTATAAATTTTTTGAATTTTTTTTCCTTTTAAAATCCAAGTTCTTAGCAACAACAGCTGCTTAGTTATTCTTCCAAAACTCATACTGAGAAGGAGAGAAATTGAAAGTCAGTATATATTCTTATCCTCCTGTGTGGTAAAAGCCATAAATAACTATGGTCTCAGTCTGGGAATCTTCTAGTATTACCCTCTGAAGTACTGAACATCTGTACTCTTTGGAAATGTAAATTGTGAAAAGCTGTGCTTTTTTCATGTCTCTGCCAAAAAAGAATGGATTTAAGATTTTGGATATCAGCAAACAAAGGTACTAGCACTCACCATTCTCTACAAACATTTTGCAATTTACTAAATGATCTGCCTCGCAAAATTGTTTTACTTTAGACATGAAATATTATATTGCTGTTCTTATACTGAAGAAAGAAATTTATTCAGTTGTATTTTAAGTTAATACATTGAAACTATATAATGGTAGTAGAAGAAGGAAATAGTATACAAATAAACTTGCTACCACTGGATGTTTTCAGAGTTCAAATAGGAACTCAGCTTTGCATTTCTCATAAGCAAACACTGAATTTAAAAGAAGTTCACATTTTTAAAAATTCTAATTATCCTATATTTGTAGCACATACTTTCTCTCGCAAGGATAGATGCACATACACATGAATGGGGATGGCTATTAATGTGTAATAACTGAGCTCTTTAGACTACACAAAAGTAAAATTGATTTTATAAATTTGTAATTCCATTATGAAAAAAAGTCCTAATTCCACAATTATCAAATATCACCCGTTAGATAAAAGAACTTCTCATTTTATTCCATTTGGGTTAATTTCTATGTTTTCCTCTGCAGTGCATTTATTCTTAATAAATGGAGCCACAGGCTTTGCATTAATTGGCAGTCACTCTTTCTGCACAGATGTTGTTTCTCTTTCCTCTTTTTCACAGAAATAAACATATCTGCGGAGGATCACTGATAAAGGAAAGTTGGGTTCTTACTGCACGACAGTGTTTCCCTTCTCGGTAATGTGTTTTTGAAACTAGTATTATTTTTAGGCTTTAAAATTCATACGTCTTCCACTTCACTCTTAAGGTTATAATTGTATTCATTTTATAGCGATTTACCAGTGGGGTGAACAAATTATTTTATTTTTAGAATTTGGCTTACAAACTTACTTTGACTTCACTGATATTTACTTACAAGGCACTACTTCAGTTCACCTCTTTTCACAATTAGCATTACTCTCAGTTGGGGGAAAATTTTGCTAGAATTATGTAAATGTTTTATATCCCAACTTTCTACTTGTACCCTATATTTCTAGATACAATTTCCTTTTTTTCTAAATTATCAACAGGCTTTTTAAAATCCTCACTTCTTTTTCCTGTAGAGTCAGACTCAGGATCATCCTGGGCATAATTTTCAATGAAAATTAGCCTGAGGAAAAGATAAGAGGCAACATTCCTAAACTTCCTTCCTGCTTCTCAGCAAAGTCACTTTGATTTTGTTTGTAGAAAAACTTCAACCCCTGTTACCAAACCAAATATATACACAGCTGAGATAAACAAAGCAAAATTTGCAGAAAAAAATTATAATTCATGTAAAGTGCTTTACCTGAGCATTTTTTACAAGTGACTTACTCTAGCAAGCATAAGCAAGTTTCTAAAATAGTCATTTAGAATCTCAGCAATTTAAAGCCTCTTTCTGCTTATGTATGTTTGTAGTATTCAGAATATCCCATAACAAATGGGTTGCTCTTTATTATACTTTGAATTGAATTTTAAATTCAAGTTTGTGCCTTAATAGTCTAAAATAACAATACACAAGAATAATACTACACAATTTGGAATTATTGTATTTTACATTTAAAGCTTTATCCTTAAAAACAGAGACCTGAAAGATTATGAAGCTTGGCTTGGAATTCATGATGTCCATGGAAGAGGAGATGAGAAACGCAAACAGGTTCTAAATGTTTCCCAGCTGGTATATGGCCCTGAAGGATCAGATCTGGTTTTACTGAAGCTTGCCAGGTTAGTTACTTTAGATTTTGTATTTTTCACCTGGACTAGAATTGTTGGAGCGTTTTCTTCAGCTGTGTGGCAATTCTTTCTCTCTCACACAGATGCATTATAAAAGCATATGTCACCATGCTCTATATATGCTTATATGTGTGCTTACAGGTTTCTCTGTTTAGAGAGACAGGCCTTTGCAAAACTGTAAGAAATGAATAACTAACATTGGCCCAACAGTCTGATCCATTTGTTTTAAAATGAAAACTTCGCAGTTATTTTATAACTTTCAAATGTAAAGTAATTCATTTAAAAAATAGCATTGACCGTTTATTCTTAAATATTGGCAAATACATGACTCATTTCTTTACTACCTATTCCAAATTGCATCATTATATTTGGACATTCCCATCTTTTTTTTTTTTTTAAGAAACAGGACTTCGTTCTCTGTAAATGTCATATTAAACATGACCACTGCATTTAATATGTTAATTTTGTGTTGAATCCAGTTGGGAGTACTTACCATTGTATTTTGTGTTTTCAGGCCTGCTGTCCTGGATGATTTTGTCAGTACAATTGATTTACCTAATTATGGCTGCACAATTCCTGAAAAGACCTCTTGCAGTGTTTATGGCTGGGGCTACACTGGATGTAAGCTAGTTTTCAAAAGATGAAGCCATATTTATTTTATTTAAAAAAGAACACATTTGTCTTTATTTTCACATCTTACTGTATGTTTTTTGCATCAATCTAGTGATCAACTATAACGGTCTATTACGAGTGGCACATCTCTATATAGTGGGAAATGAGAAATGCAACCAGTATCATCAAGGGAAGGTGATTCTGAATGAGTCTGAAATATGTGCAGGGGTTGAAAACATTGGATCAGGACCATGTGAGGTAAAAAGGAAGTTATTTAATAAGGAGAATGTGATTAATAGCTTAGTGTTTCATGCTTATTTTTTTCTGTTTATTTTTCTCAAATCAAAAATATTGTATACCAACCTATTCTAGGAGAGAAGAATTGGGAAAATTTACTCTGTAATATTCTTCTGCATTTCTTTTAATTAAACAGTGAGATAACCAATGTTTTATTCGCAGCAAACTATGATGGCATTTGTCTCTCTCAAAAAACAATAAATGTGTAGACCTGGAACTCTAAGGGAGAGCTATTCAAATGAGAAGTATCCAAATCAGTTTGATCAATAGTTTGCATTTTTCTAATGTTTTTCTAAATTTATCTCATCTTCCCAAATTATCTCTAAGTGAACCTCACTAATTATATCATTCAGAGACACCTGGCTTTAAACCTTTAAATCTCTTTTGGGTAAGCTGGTCCCTCTCTTGCTCTCTTGCTCTGTGTATGTGTTTATACAAATTATATTTTTAAAAACCTAAAGATCAAAGTTTGTGACTTTACGAGTTTGGACATTTCACTTGTTAGGCAACTGTTATTTCAGCTTGACAATGTTTCTATCCCTATGTTACATAGACAAGCTGTTAAGCTGTTATTTTAGTTATATTTTGAATGTGAGAGACACATTCTCCAAGCTTCAGGGCTGTGGGATTGTGGAATGCTGTGTGCAGCAAAGGATGAAATGAGTTCATTGATAGTGAAATGTCCTTTGATACGTAGGAAAATGCCTGCTGGAAGTATGGAACATAAATATATGTGTTGAAATGCAAGTGTTATACATCTTGCCCTGAGATTTTATTTCTGAAAAGAAGAGAAAATGTTTACTGTTTACTAAGTTAGTTTTTAGAACTGCTTAAAGCTGATATGGTTAGAAACATGATATGTTTATAACCAGTTTCAAATTTGTTGTCTTTCTAGTAAATCATGAACAGTAAAACCACTGTTCATTATAACAAGGAGAAATTTACTAGGAGAAAGTAATGACTTTAAAAAGTAAAAGTAATAAGCATCCAGTAAACACAGAAGTTTCTAACTAGACCCAACCTTACAGATCATCTAATTATTGTCATTACTAAAACCAAATTTGACAGCTGCTTTTGAAGAATAGTTTTTAATCTGGGTTATCAACTATATAGTCTTCATTTCCCTTCTTTGGCTTGAATTATTTATCACTATATATGTTGTTTTTAACCTTGTTGATAAGACTTGACCTCAAATAGATTCTACCATGTTTCAAAAATGTATTTATCCTCGAGAATATTTTTATAAATACATATGTCACTGACATTTAAATTAAGGTAATTTAACCACTGAAATAAATTTGAAGGAGATATCTCCCAAATGTTTGTGTAACAGCAGTGACATTACATTTAGTGAACGTCTCCGGAGTGAATTACTTTGAGGAGTTCATGTTAGTAATTACTAGTGCATTTGTTTAAAAATCAGCTTTATTACCTCACCTGGCATAGTTTATGCAAAGTGTCTTGGAATAAATCATTTTTCTTTACTGTTTGATATTCTACTTTACCCCTAACTTGGTTTTCCCTTTCATAGAATGCCAGTGGCTTTCTTTTTTCCATTTGAATCACAGAAGTTAATTTTGCAGTAGTTTCCCCCATTGCTGTTGGGGGGAAATTAAGGTAGTTCCAAACACTCTTCTGCATATAAGGATGCCAGAAGCCAGCCATTGCATTCTTAGGAGGTTACATGGTTCATGAAAGCCGTGCAGCACAGTTGTAGTGGTTATGTGTTTATTTATATTTACTTATATATTTACATATTAATTATATTTGTGTAAATAAATAAAACCATAAATGAATATATGTATGTATATATACACAACACAAATAAAGCCATCTGTTCATCTTTCATCTAACCATATCTGATAAAGCAACAGGCTTGCCATATAAGAAATGCCATGAAATCACAGGACAACCTACAGAAAGAAGGGTATAAAATATAAATATAACTATATTAACTACTAATACCTAATACCAGTAGTAAGTGGAAAAATATTCCTTGCCTGGAAAAGCCATTTCAATTAACAGAAGTATTTTGTTGACTACAGGTTTTTAATTTAACTTGTTAAGATCATCTACAGCAGGATTGGGAGAAGCAAAAAAAAAAAAAAGTTTTAGAAATAAGAGAAAATGTAACACAGTTTAGTTATTAAAACTGTATAATTGCCATGGCACAGTGGCTCACACCTGTAATCCCAGCACTTTAGGAGGCTGAGACAGGCCGATCATGAGGTCAGGAGTTTGAGACCAGTCTGACCAACATGGTGAAATCCTGTCTCCTAAAAATACAAAAATTAACCAGGCATGGTGGCACTCGCCTGTAATTCCAGCTACTCAGGAGGCTGAGGCAGGAGAATCATGTGAACCCAGGAGGCAGAGGTTGCAGTGAGCTGAGATCACGCCACTGCACTCCAGCCTAGGTGACAGAGCGAGACTGATTCAGTCTCAAAAAACAAAAACAAAACTGTATAATTCCAAATTATTTTCTTTTTTCTTTGTTTTTTCTACGTTCCAAATTTTCTATATTGAACATATATTGAACATAAGAATATCGAAATAAATGTAAAATCTACCTTATTAAATAGGTACCAATTGTTATATGTTAGTCTACATCCAACAAAAGCAACACACACTTAAAAGGATGAGTGACTATTTTGGAAAAGGCAAGTCATTTTTAGGTGAATAAACATAATAGAACACTTTGAACTTTTCTCAGTCTTGGCTAATTCAGTAGAAAGTCAACAAATGGTCGAGGACACTAATTTTTATATCTTCATATTTCAGTTGCAGCTATTCCTTTTCTGTATCTATCTCTGAGATGCAAATCCATACAGCATAATGTTAATGAACAATTATTTTTAATTTCTAATAATACCTTGTTTTTGTATGTCTTACTCCTAGGGGGATTATGGTGGCCCACTTGTTTGTGAACAACATAAAATGAGAATGGTTCTTGGTGTCATTGTTCCTGGTCGTGGATGTGCCATTCTAAATCGTCCTGGTGTTTTTGTCCGAGTAGCATATTATGCAAAATGGATACACAAAATTATTTTAACATATAAGGTACCACAGTCATAGCTGAAGAAAGTGTGTCTGAAGCACCCATCAATACAACTGTCTCCCACATGAAGATTTCAGAGAATGTGGAATTTAAAACGTCACTTACAACAATCCTAAGACAACTACTGGAGAGTTACGTTTGTTAAAATTCTCATTAATGTTTATGGGTGTTTTCTGTTGTTATGTTTGTGTTATTTTGTCAATGCTGAAGTGAATTAAGGTACATGCAAGAGTAGTAACATATCTCCTGAAGATACTTGAATGGATTAAAAAAAGACACAGGTATAATTGTTGGATGATAAAGATTTAATGGGAAAAAATTCAATCTCTCTATGCTGCTTACTGAGGTTGGTTTCTTAATAATGAGCAAACCATAAATTAAATATTATTTTAACCTCACCAGAACAGTTTATGCCTTGTGTCCCTTAATTGTAGCCCAATATTAAATTATATTACATTTCATATGCCATATGTTATATTTCACTTATTTCTCCTCAACATGTATCCTGCAATACTGGTACACAAACACACTTTTTATAAATCCAATACCCATGTACACATGCCTAGGTGCACATGTGCCTGCACTACAGTTTAAATTATGGTGTACCTAATGAAACTCCTAAATATTTTAGAAGTGTGTACCTATAGTTTACCTAAAAAAAAAAAAGAAATAAATCTCTAAAGACCAGTAGAAATATTAAACAATGATACAGGATAAAAATGACTAGCTAATTCTCCTTACGTAATCTACAGATGACCTTCTTTGGTTGACATTTCAGGTGTGACCATCCCCCACAGAGTGAAATAACACCTATTCTAGGTGTTTACAAGTATTTACTATCCTAGTTATTTCAGGTAGTTCCTAATTCTTAAAGGAAAGAGAGTAATAGTTCTATCTGTGTTATTTGTTTCCTCCAAACTTAAGGCCACTTATTTACACAAGATATTTGTAGATCTATTTTCCTAAAGCATTTCTTAAATGCCCAGATCATTATCTATTTGAAGAAGTTTAAAATTGTTTAGTCATTAAAAATGTATTTAAATAGGTTAATTCTAAGACTTGCTCCTGTGATTGGCTTCTAGCTCACTGCCTTTAATTTTTAAAAAATTTAAGAGAAAAACTTCCACGTCTCCAAAGTTTTATAAATACCCTTCATCAAGTCATGCATTAAAGTATATATTGGAGAAAAACATATTTCTTAACCTGGAAGATTTTAGCCTAACAAAGCTTGTTTGAAGTAAAACAAAACTTCTAAAAGGAAAGAAACTAGTTTGTTTAAACTCTGTATTCATTTATTTTTTTGAAGTATAGTTGAATCTGTTGAATCAGATATTTTATCAAGGTATCTTCATTGTTTTATTTCATTTTACAAAGATCTTTCCTAATGCCATATGTAATGGTCAGTTAAACTTTCTGTATAACAGCCAAATTATCATATTTATTATTGTATTTGTCATGCTTAGCTAAAGATCATGTATTTGTTGAGAAATAGAATAACAAAAGTAATAGGATAGGCTTTGATTTTTTTGCAAAAACTTCCTGTACAAAACGCCTTTAAAAACAATTTTTTGAATGGTGTGAATACAGTATTCCCATTTCTCTGACTTAGTTTTCTCGAATGATTTTTATCAAGGCCAAGTCCCCAAATGATTCCCTAACAGCTTATTAGAATACTGTTCAATCTGGACTAAAATGGTTTTAAGTTTATGGAGCATTTAGTCCACAAAATATAGGGCAGCAAGTCCAGAAGTGCTTACAAAAGTTGTTTTATTTTTTTCGTAAAATGTGTGCTGGTATCAAGAAACTTAAAGTGGAAGCAAAAAGACGTCCAACTAGTTGCTAGGCTCCATCATCTTATCTGATTGTATTTCTCTTTCCCTTATATAATACACCATTATAATAAGAATACCTAGAAATGTCAAGAGCATATTGCCAAAATATAGAGTGTATTTCATAGTTTCTTCTTGCTGAACCAGTGAAATTTTATTGTTGTATATAATGATATTTATACAACTTTTATAAAATTATAATACTCTTAAATACTCACATTTTAAAACTACTTCCTTTATGACTCTTTCTCTAAATTTCCTAAAAATACCGATAAAGATTAGCTAGATACAAGATGAAGCTAGGTATTTAGACATTTTGAACCCAGTATTTTTCATTTTATTAAAAGCTATAAAAAAATGCCACCAAAAAATCATCAAACAAACTGTAGAAAGTAATTCTCTCTTTGGGAGGCTACTTTTGTGATAGAGGGACAGGGGTGGAACTGACAATGAAAGTTAGATGAACAAAGCGCATGTTATTTTAGGTGGTAGAATGGGGTAGCGTCATGTCATTATTTGCTGGTGGAAGATACTCTTTACTAGGTGTTCTTTGCCGAATAAATTATTAAACATTTTAAAAAATTCAATAATCCATTTTATTTTGTGTCTTTGACAAAAGGATCTTTTAAATCAGAAGGTTTCAATGCGATTTCTGGTTTGGCTGATTGAATAATGGTTATGTACTGTTATAATTGTAGACATTTTCTCATGTCTATCAGGAATTGAAGTGTAAAACTAAAATATTTTTCATAATGCCTCTGCCGTGCAGAAGAAATGATAATCCTTTTGTATACTTCTTTAATTTTATTGTAAAATGTGTAATGACTTTTACCTATTTGCTGTGGGCAGGTCCTCAGTAATGTATATTGAGTCAATTTCTAGTATTAATAGGCTTTTGCTTGCTATCTAAATGTTTCAAATTATGGGAAACGTGAGATACTGGAAGGCAAGAAAATTAACAATAATGGCATGTGATAGCAAAATTGTATTTCACTTATTCCTATGAATATTTCTTGTTGGTACCAATGGTACTGTACAAAGTGAATGTTGTAGCCACAACATTCTCTTTAAAAGAACACTGTCAAGAAGTGGGAAATTGCTGTCAGGCATTTCCTTGTTGTTTATAAACTTTTTTTTTTTAAATAAATACTGGTTTTGCAATATAGAGATAATGAGGTAAAGAATGTTAATAAGCTCTTATACTAAAAAGCCTTAAATTGATTTACTAAGATTCAAAAAATACTGTTTTAATTAATGATATCCCGTATATATATAAACACAGTAAAATAATAAAATTAACTTTGGTAAAAGGACCTGGCTTTTGTTTTTTAAATACATAATTTTCAAACAAATCACTTGTCATGATAAAGTCCAAAAAGAAGTTATCTTTAAACATTCAACTGAGTTTAGAACTAAGAATTTAGTAATATAAAAAAAAGTTGAAATTTTTTGGACTATATAAATCTTGACAGTGTAACTTTTGAGTAGGTTCATTTCCATTTGCACAGAAAGTTTCTGTATTTAGGAAACTGAAAATGAAATACTGTGGATGTTTTGACTGTCTGTCTTGTATGTAAATAGGAAATTGATAAGCTGCCTATTGAGTGGTACAGCTGGATGCTTACCCAAAAAAGGGAACACTGTGGTTATGACTTGTATTATAAACGTTCTGTAGTTAATAAAATTGTTATTTTTATAACCATGATTATATTATTATTAATAAAATATTTTGTCAAAAATGCTTTTCTTTGTTATAATTATTTACATGTACATATTTGTATCTCTTAGCGCTTACATGCAGAAAATAGCAACAACATTGACTTCACTGACAAAAGTTACATATATGTTCTTATAAGAAATATCATATAACTTGTTTAATAGGACTAGGACAAAAATTACAACTTGTTTAATAGGACTAAGACAAAAATTATTTTATTCTAACTAACATCCACAGCAATAGAGATGCTCTTCAGTAAACCATTAAACTCTATGCACTTTAGTTTCTCCCACTGTAAAATATAACATTTATTCATTCTTCATATTTGCTAGAATGGTACTATGCCGTAATTTGCCAATATATCCAAAATATTGCCATGAATTGTCACCTAATTTCCTTTCTCATGCCACTATATAATACAAAGGTGATTTTAAATTATTTAAGCACTTTGAGTATCTCTTTAAAGTGTGCATTCAGTTAAGAACAAACAAGAATTCAATGGATTCCTTTAATTCAAATTGGAAGAACTAGTCAATGATCTAAGCAAAGAGAGCTCTATAACACCACTGATTATTTCAGGCTGCATTTTACTGCCTTTTTCCCCTCAAAAGATTGCTGTATTAATTTATTCTAGCATAGATAGTGATCTCAAGTGACGATTAATGTGTCTAACTCTATAGCCCAGATTAAAATATCTAATCTCTTAAGTGATTATAATTAAAGCAAAATATATACACTTAATCCATTTATGGTGATAGTAAGAATATTTTAAATATTAATTGATGACTTTTCTAAATTTTGACATTTTTTCTTTATTTTCTATAATTCCATTCCATTCTAAACTTATATTCTGCTATTTTAATAGAACAGTCCAGCAAAGCTCCTTTAAAAGATATTTGAACAGGGTCTGCAGTAAAGTTGGAGTAAGCTGTTTAAATATCTGGTATCTGATAAATAATACTTAGAAAATATTTTTGTTGGTTTCTTATTTATTTACTTTTATAAGTTGTGATGCTCTAAATAGTTACCATTTGTCAATGTCCTGAATAGAATCACCTTGGTCTGCATTTCCTCTGTGTTTTAGTCCAGGAGTTCTGTTGCCATTCTGTTTTATTATTCTCCTACACAAGCACCATCCTTAACCTATACAACCCTTAAAAAACTTTCTACATCACTTTCACTAAAGTGAGTGAAATTATACAAGCCTCTCATGTATAATTCACATTAAAAGTTTTATTCTTGATGCTCCATATTTTTCTTTTGTCCCTTATATTTACAAATATCTCGGTTGTATGTGTTATTTTTAAAAGCTGAGAATTAAAAGATAGAAGGAATACTTGTAGTAATTGCGGAAGCGTTTACATTTATGAAGAATATATTACTGCCTAAAGCACAGCTAAGAAAGACAGAAAATACCCGGCAAAGGAAAGAAACTTAATTTTACTTTACATAATTCAAAAGAATTATGGGATCATAGATTACATGTCCATTTGTGGATTTTAAAAGTAAATGATAACAATATCAAAAAACCACCACCAACAAAAACAGAAAAACTTTTAACAATCTAACATACAACCTAACTCCAAACCAACTTCAGATCTTCAACCCTCCCAAATACTCCTTAACCCTTATTATTTTATTTGCATCATTTTTGAACATGTTATCAAATCTAAACTTCATGTCTGTGTTCAAACAGTCCCTAAGAGCATCATACTTTTCTTCAACACTTAAAAACCTCATATGTTACTGAGTTTCCTTTGTGATTTCATCCTCAACAGCTCTATCAAAAAAAAAAAAAAATCATCATTTCCTCAGCCTGCCACAGTGGCCACTTATGCTTTCTGTTTTTATATTTTTTTAAATGGTTTTTATAATTGTTTTCCATAAGCTTTTGGGGTACAGGTGGTATTTG